ACCCTAAACCCTACACCCTAAACCACCGTAAACCCCTATAGGCTATCGGGTCTGGCCGTGCCGTTTCTTTTCTGGACCTTGGACTGAAGCTGTGTCTACACGGCTTTACCCTGGACTTCGCTGTAGGAAGCCCCATTTTTGGTACTTGCAGCCCCCGGATTACGTACCCATTCAGTCGCATGATCCTTCAAGCGCGAATACCCGCAAAGCCTGGAGCCCGAAAGCCTTGCACCACACACCACGCTTAGCGCAGGCAATTGCTGCAATGAACTTCTTTGACTAGGTTTAGAGTTTAGATTAAATGTGTTTTATGGGACCGCGGTGTCGAAATAGAGCCACATCTCCCTCGTAGGCCCCAGCTCATTCCTTCAACTCAAACTGAGTAGCGAAGCGCAGAGCGATGAAGCCTTCAACGCAATAGGACTGCAATGGTATAGGGTTTAGGGCCCAGCTGAGAACCACAAGACTCAAGTCCAGCGCAAGCCCGCATGAAGACCCTACGCGCGCCCATAAAACCCTGCCCCCCCTTCTTCAGGAGGCTGCCAGCATGGTGGCCGCAACAGGCCTTGCCGGAAGTTGGCTTCAGCATTTTCGTACCAAACCCCGAAACCGAACCGAAACGCTTGGACCTCTGTACCCAAGGCCCTAAAGGCCTGAGGATTCCGAAGCGCCGACAGCCTTAATGTGACGCCAGGGTGAGGCAGACCTCCTGGCCCCAGGGAGTCCGAAGCCAAGCCTCCCAAACCCCAAACCCTCAAGCATAAACCTGCTCAAGTAACCCTAAACCCTAAACCGTGAATGCACAGAGCCCCCCAACCACAGGCTCCTCCCGGTATAGGAATTCTAGCTGCACAACAGGTAGAAAAGATCCCTCAAAAAAACCCCTAAACGCGCTGCCGTGGCAGGTGCCGCCCCTTCAAGCCCTCGCGAGGAGGCACCGACCTGGGTTGAAGCCAAGGCCGGAATCTAATTAGTAAGGCCCCTTTGTTAAGTTAGGGACGCAAAAAGGACATAAGCATTTTACAGGGATATCCCTACCTTTTTGGGCTTCATTATAAGGGGGTGTGTATATGGGATATCCCTCTGCTGATTTTTGCTTATGTGCTTTTTGGGGGGGCCTCTGGGCTCAAGGAGTTCGGGGCTCCTCTGGGATCTCCAATGAGGATCCCTAGGTATATACCCATAAGATAGCCATTATATACCCATTATATAGCCCATTATAGGGTAGGGGTCCCCATTAAGGGTCCCTCCTTTTGGGATGTCTGAGGCTTTCGGCTTCGAACTGAAAGGTCTATTCATGGCGGTATTAGGCTTTGTAGGGCGTTGGGCTTAGAGCGTTCTTCTAGGGTTGTGAGACAGTTTTGGGTTGAGGGTTTTAGATCCTCAGGGGCACCAGCTCCTCCACCCAACGTTTCAAATGACCCTGTTGGGACCCACAGGGCAGTCTTGGAGATCCCCGGAAACTCCCGATGTGCCGAATCCGACAGATCCCAAGCCCTAAACCCTAAACCCCTAAACCCCTAAACCACTAAACCACTAAACCCCTAAACCCCTAAACCACTAAACCCTAAACCCCTAAACCCTAAACCACTAAACCCCTATTCCCCTAAACCACTAAACCCTAAACCCCAAACTTCAGAACCCTGAAGCTTCAAATCCCCAAACCCCGTAACTCCTGCTTTGCAAGGCCCGGCGGGAGTTCTAAACACGAACTCTCAAAGCTCAGAAGCCGAAATTCTGACCTAAAAGCTGCACCTCCTTGTCGGCCTGGTTTCTATTCGTTTTCAGGTTTTAGGGTTTAAGTTGCAAGCCCTGCTTTTTCGGGTTGAGGAAAAAAGTTTATAGCCCAACTCTTCTTTAAGCCTTATGCGCTGTTTTGGGTTTAGGCGAGGTTATAACAACAAGAGTAATAACAAGAATAATAATAGAAATCAGATAACAAACATAGCAATATAAGCAGTAAGAATAAGGGGAATCATGCTTTTTTGTCCAACTCTTCTAGGCCTCGACGGCGTCGTCTTCGCCCGCTGTGGCCGCTGTGGCCAGCTCGCCTGCGATGCCCGCGATGTGGTTCTGAGCGCGCTGAGGCCGTCCGGTGGTTGAGGCTTTGGGGTGGAGGACGTACTATGATGACCTTAAAGCCTTTAAGATAGCAAGGTTTTTGGAGTATGCTTTCCTTTACAAATCGTAGGGACTCACGGGGCTCATATTTCGAGTTATTTAAGGCTTTTTGGAAATTTAGGGTTGGATGGGCTTTGGGGCTTGGAGAGGTTTTCGCTCCAGAGAGCCTTCTTGTAATGATTTGATGGCATAGCTCTGGAGCCAACGTCTAGCGGGAAGATGAAGCATCATGGGCAGCCCCAGATCCTGATGCGAAAGCACCAGATCCTGAAGCCCTGAAACCCAAACACTAAACTCCTAACCTGGCCCCGAAGCCCTATACTAAATCCCGGAGCCCTTGCTGCTCCAGACCGCAAGCCCGGAGACCCTAACACTTCTAAGCCCGACAGCCCTCACCGCCGAGTCCTGAGCTTCTAAACCCGCTTTGGTGTTTGGGTGCTACTGCCACACAATTGAGACTTCACAAAGCAGCAGAGCACCGCATCGTCCAGCATTTTGACAGACAGGGGTCTCTAAACCCTAAATGTTAAATCCTAAACTCTAAACTCTGAAACGCTAAACCCGAAACCTGGACCTCTTCTTGGCTCGAGCATTGCTGGCAGTGGTTCGGCGAATTAGTATGTACATAGTTTGTACATCAATGATACATTTTGTTATATATATATATGCACACACAGATGCTTTGTTATCTATATATATATATATGTATATGTATATGTATATATGTATTTGTATATCTATATGCTTATATTAGTGTGCAAGTGATCGTGCCTGGATACCCAGTCATTTTCACAATCCGTCTTTGTTAACCGTCTGCCAGGGCGGGGAGCAGCACAACGGTGAGGGATCTGCTTAGGTAGGAGGTGGTGATCCACTCAAACTTGTATCCAGGAATGAGTCGGATGCAGCTCTGGCCGACTAAACGCAGCCACACTAGGCTTTCCGCAAACTCTTTCAAGCATCTTAAACCCTAGGCCCGAAGCCCTAAAACCTTCTTTGAAGAACCCCGGAACTACCAGGAAGGCTGCGACTTGACTATCAGCTCTTGTTGCGACGTGCCAGAGCTCTTAAACTCCACTTGGAGGTTCATGGCACGTAGTAAGTACAGTTATAGGTGTCTTACTTGGGGTTATAAGTAGTTAAAAGTATAGTTGCCATAAACCCCTAAACCCTAAATCCTAAACCCCTAAACCCAAATTCCCTAAACCCCGACAACCCTAGCTATTAAGTCCTATGAACCTTTAAGCCAGCCCAGCCCGGAGCCTCAAGCGCAGATCTTCGCAATTCCCCAACCCGTCCGGCCTGAGACCCGTAACAGTTGGGTCGGAATGTTTAGTAGTAGTAGTCGTAGTAGTAGTAGTAGTAGCAGTAGTAGTAGTAGTAGCAGTAGTAGTAGTAGTAGTTGTGGTGGTGGTGGTGGTGGTACTAGTAGTAGTAGTAGTAGTAGTAGTAGTAGTAGTAGTAGTAGTAGTAGTAGTAGTAGTAGTAGTAGTCGTTCATAGCCCCTCATAGAACTATACTGCAAGATACCCGAAACTTTATTGTTTTCATGAAAGCCCCTATATGAATCCATAAGCTCGGGCGTTGAAACCGTGCGGGATACAGCGGTCGAAATAAATCACTGATAGTATTCCTTCGCAGTCTCCACATACAACTATGACTATGGCATAGTCCTAATTATTGAGGCCATTATTTGCACGTGCAGAGCCTGCATTCGGCAAGTGTGGAGCTGCCTTCGGCTGCCTCATTCAGGGATTCTCGAAAATCTCTTACTCCTTCGAGTCGAAGCCCTAACGTCAAAGTGTGAGCTGATGCGAGGCCTCAATCGCAGTAGCATTGGTGTTTCAGAGCACAAATGAGATGCAATTCGCCTTGTCTGAGACGCCTTCGAAGAACTTCGTTCGTGTTTTGTTAAACAGCCAAACCCTAGATTTCCAAACATGCCGTGTAATCGAACCGCCCCGGCTGCAAGCTCGGATCTTCAGGTCAGGCTTCGGGGTCAGAAAGCCCGTCGGCCCTAAAACATAGCTATAACCCTTAGCCTGAGCACTAAACTCGAAAGACTAGGCCCTAAACTCAAATGCCTTTACACTAGAAAGCCAAGAAGAATGAGGAAGTCCCGGCACTCCACCGTGAATTGTGTTGGGCCTCTTGTGTGCTGGATGCGAAAGGTCTGCGATGAGCAGAGAGAGATTTGAGATGCTCTGGAGTATGGTTCTTGGTGCTCACCCAAAGGGTACTAGGCTCTCAGACACTGATTGCTTTTTGACATCGCAAGTATGCAATGACTGTGACGGAACGTCGGAAGGTTCATGGGTAGATATGAGGTGCTCGCATCCCTATTTCCAGCTTCCCGTTATGGACGCATGAAGACCGATCTTGTGCTCTCGCTCTGCCCATGCTGTACAGAGGCTGCGCCGCAGCAAGAGATTACCCACTCAATCCTTCTGTAGATGTTTTTGGGGTAGGCTGTGGCCCGGTGGTTGTTCGGATTGAATATGCCGTCTCAAGTTGATGCTTGGGCACGCTTTGTTCTGGAAGCCCACGCACATGGATCCGCTTTCCTTCCATGCTTGCTGTGCTGCCACAGGGCCCCGAATTAGTTAATTCACCTTTACCCTGATCGGCCTGAGACCCTAAACCGCCCAACCCTAAACCCAGTGCAAGAACACAACATGCTGGGGCTGCTTCCTAGAGCCGCTCGCCTACCCCATCTATCGGACTTTCCGGCACAAGGAGGCCCAGACCTTTTCAGGGGGCCAGCAAGCCCTTCACTTTGGATCTGGATTGGGCTCTTTGGGTCTCGGGTTTAAAGGGCTTCTGGGCTTAGTAGGTCTGGGTCTCGTCTTAACCACGCCTTTGGACTTGACTTTTGCCGGATGCCCTGCGCAGAGGCCGCGGTGGTGTCCTGGCACGTTGCCTGGATGCTTTAAAAAGAGCTCAGGGTTTAGGGTCTAATATAGCGGCCTTAAGTATTTGCCAATACCATTCCTTAGGGTTCTGATTATGGTTATACAAGTCACAATACTCCCCAAAGCACAGTCAGCAGTTTCAATTATACCCCAAACCCTTCTCTGGGGTATGGTTTTAGTACGATATACACCGAAAGCCGTATTCAGCTGATGCAGGCCCCCACATGAGGGCTGTGGATCCCCACTCGTGCATTTAGGGGCGTAGTCGTGAGGGTTCCCTAAGTATAGGGTTCACAAACCCTAAGCCCTAAAACCTACACTGTAAAGAGTCAGCGGACTAAAACACATTCTGGGTAATCGCTACAGAGATAATGTGGGGGATGCTTAAATAGCTTAGGCAAGAGGGCCGCTCGCCAAAAGCTCCCGGCCCGGGAGGTAAAGGCCTTGTGCTTCTTCTGCACGTGTTGCTTCCTAGAGATCCTTGGTTGTGTCGATGCATTGTCGTATTCTCTTGCATCGTTTTTTTTATTGCTCCTCGTCCCCTCAACCCTAAACTCTAAGCCCTAGACCCTGATCTGATCTTTCATGTCCTTTCAGCGACCACCTTTGTTAAAGAGTGTCGTGTAGACTGGGGGTCCATCATCTTCGGGAAAGAGCCGATCTCCTTTTGTTTGCAGACTACAAATGTTCCCTCAAGGGCTGCTGCCGACAGATGACGGGTCTTCTTCGCGGTAATGCTACACATAGGACTCATAGGACAGGTGCCCGTGCCTGCCCGAGTGACCCCCAAGATTTTCGCTTTCTGTTGCACGGTGTATTGGTCGACCGCCGAGTGGTCGGCTTTGTCATGTAGGGCCTTTGCAGGCTGGGCCTAGATTACCGGGTAGTTGGAAATTTTCTTTGGTCGTTTTGCCAGTAGGTCGCTGTTCCTCCGTCAGGAGTGGTCGCAGTATGCTCCAGTATTTGGGCTGCGATGGTACGTTACGCTCGTCGCACTCTTCTGGAATGTTTCGGCAATGGAAAGCTTCTCAGTTGTCATTACCTGGTGTAACCAGCGCTGATGGAAGCCCACGCCCTGAAGCTTCTACCATCCGTAGCTTTATTGGCTGCCGAGCCTTGCAGCCGAAGGTCCGGACCACTCCAGGTGTGGCCCCCCCAGAACCCAGAACTCTCGCGAGGTGCGTCCCTGCCCGCCCAGCAAAACTATGCACTGTATGGCTTAATGTGAACTATGTTGGCAGCCAATCATTCACCTACCAGGACACTCACAACCTGAACCCTAGACCCTAAACCCGGTATTTTCAGTGAACTTTCCCTGTGTTTGTGGCCAGCGATGGCGGCCAGCAAAGGAGGTCTCCGGGAAGGTTCGCGTTCGGGCTTTGTGGTTCGTCCGGGCCCTTTCAGAACCGTCCACGTCGAGTGATCACTTTGGTTTCTTTCTAGCCTCCGAGGCTACCCAAGCAAGCGACACACCCAAGCGCCTCCAAGACCTAGACCCGAGCTAAAGCCAATAAACCCCACAAGCCCTTAATTATTTATAACTAGATGCTAAACCCCAAAACCATACACAACGAGCACCAAGTCGTGCTGCTTTCTTGCCAGATTCCCGCTGCTCGACTGCAGCAAGCCCGCTTCGTGTGAGGCCGGATCGCATGTGACGAACACAAGATGGACGAGTTAGGGTTTACATGGGAAGGGGTTTTGAGTGATCCTGGCTATTTACGCACTGGGCACTTTGGGTTGAATTAGCGTCGTGTTCCCCGACACTACAACCCAGACCCCTTACAGGATCCAAGAAACTGAGCCCTTCAGATTTCTTGTCTCAGCCCGTGCAGTGGTAGGATAGCCAAGGCTATCTTTCTTGGGCACTTTGTTGAGATCCTGCACGGACACCGGAACAAACCCTAAACCCTAAACCCTCATCAGTATTGCTGTTGCTCGAGGCGTTCGAAACAAAACCCTCGACGTTCTATGTTTCCAGGAAGCAGGATGGCTCCCTGGCCCAGCAGATCCGCCGAGCGGCGGCCGCGGCAGAAGCCGAGGTATCGCCGGCGCATTGCAGGGCTTTCTGGGGCCGGTTCAGGGTTTAGTTAGGAAGGTTTAGGTAGGATTTGTGGGGCCAGTGTTGAACTGTTGGGGTGCCCTGAACTTACCTGAGAAGTGTTTCAGATCAACGTCCCAGGTGAGCTCAGCTCAACTGCCGTGGGTTCTCTTGGGCGTCGAGGGGTCTTAGAGTGTAGGCCAAACGAGATATAGACCCAAGCCTTAGATGAAGTAGACAGCATCACTTTCGACTTTGCTTCCTGGTCTCTAAACCCCCAACTCTATGTTTTGAGGCTGACTCAACACCCCAATATTAGACACCCGAAGCTCAAACTTCCAGTCCAAAGCCCAACCCTGAACTCGAAAACCCTGAACCCCTAACGCCACCCCCAGGCTTTCTAGCCTCTTGGGACCTGAAGGCCTCATAGAAAAAGGAGCTGGCAAAAAACTTCAACCCGTTCCTAAAGACCTTGAACCCCAAACCCTACACCCTAAACCCTGAACCGCCAACCCTGAGCCCTGAACAGGCCCTAGACCCTAAACCCGAACATCACTTGCATGCTTGAGTTTACTCAGAGAGTACAGCCATCCACTCCAAAGCAAAAACCCGAACATCGACGTTTCCGGGAAGCCTTCAGCAGGATCTCGAGGAGCTCCGGAGGGGCCTCCGAAGCGACGTGCTGGGTGCTCGGAGGCTGGAGAGGGGAAACTCGCAAGTGGAACCAGAACGAAAATCATGGGGCACCTTATTTTGGGGTCCTTATATTAGGGATCCTACTATTTAGGGCACTACATTAGGGTCCCCTATGGAAATCAAGGGTATGCATCATCGTAAGAACTGGGCCTCGAGGTTTCGATGCATCACATGCCTTGAGGCGCCTATGCTTCAAGCAACGGGATCTAAGAAGGGATTACTGTTGAACAGTGGGTTCGTGGTCCCATTGCTTTAGAAAGACTGCCCGAGGCTCGCAATTGCCACAGTAGGTGTAAAGAAGCGGGATGCCCGAATGAATTGGACATCAGCACAACTCCTGTACGCCGATTGGGACGTGAGACGCAATAATGATAATGTGTACATGGGTTTGGGGTCCGTCCACTGCGCACCCTGCAGAACGTATTATTGGTGGCTGTCATCCCCATCCCCGACATAAGGACTTCACGGTTCGGGCATGGAAGCCTCGGGCGAATCAGGATTCTTGTGTAAGGCTGCATTCAGGGTTCAGAACTCAGGCAAAGCGTGTTTGGTTCGTAGTTGATGAGTGTCCACGCGCTCCCTGGAAGGCTCTTCGAAGAGCAGCAGCAAGCCGAGGTAGCTCGACATGCTCGTGTTTCCCTTCGGGGTTCTCGCTTGAAAGGGACTGTTTCGGCTCACAGTTGCTGCAAGCCTGAAGCTCTGAAGCCCACACTGTTGCACGTCCCCCAAGCTGCCTGGGCCTTGAACGCGAAGAGCCGCTAAGCTGTGGTAACCAGTACATACCCATGCAACGGCTTGCTTTCACAGGCCGTTTGCTGGCCATTCGTTGAACATCGTGTCCAGCAAACGCGAGAAAAGGGTCGAAGTAGGTGCGATTCCTGAGATGCTGCTCAAATGGCACCTTCTTCCGCCACTGCTGCTACCATCTCTCAAAGTCAGAAAATCTTATGCTGTCGAGAAGTTTTTGTCGGTTTGTGTAGCCTTTACATGCGCCCCCACCCACGTCCCTGCATTCCGCACCTTTGCCCTAGTTACCACTCGCCAAGCCCGCAAAAACAATTCTTGAGCAGTGCATGTACCTACTCATTGCAACCCGCGAACCTTCAAGACGCAACGCGGATATGACATACTAGACTTATGAGCATCTGGTCAGAGTCCTATAGCACGCCATAGTACCCCAGTCATCAAGACCCCACAGCCTCAAGAAGCTTCGGAGGCCCGGCGCCATGAAGAGGAAGCCGAGCTGCGAATTTGCGTCGCCCGCGTCTGGGCGAGACAAAGCTTTGGTTGTCGAAGCGGCGGCCAGTGTTGGGTTTGGGTCTGTGGCTTGTGGCTTACTGTAGTGTTCTAGAGGGTTCAGCGTCGGATGTCCGAGCAGAAGCTTCAAGGCTCTTCCACAGCAGGCTGGGATGGGCCTACACAAAGGCCGGAGGGACATAGTCAGATCAAGTTATCCAGTCATAATTCCTTCCGTACAGGGAATGAGTTACTACCGGTCCCACTCGCCCACGAACCCTGGACCCAAAATCAAAGGTTCAAACCATTTAGCCCCTAATCCCTCAATGCTAAACCTTGACCGACTCTTCTACTTGCTCCCATCACCCGTTTAAGCACACCACGCCTGACCCTTTCCACCCCAAAACACACAACTCCAACAATTCAGTCCTAAACATGAACCCCCAAACCTTATGCCCCAAAGCTCGATCCCTAAACGTGAAACCCGTCACTGGAATCCTTAGAGACCCAACGTTCAAGAAGAACCTCGATGATTTTGAGGCTGCCGTGATGAAGCGGCTGCAGCCTGCGCCGATGCCAAGGACTAGGGCATGGGCAGGGTTTGGGATCCAGGGGCTGTGGTGTAGCTCGCAGCTGTAGAGTTTAAGCCCTCAAGGGTTAGAGCGGTTAGGGCTTGCGAGGATTGTCAGGACTTCGGGGTTTGGAACTTGATCCTCAGACCGGATGCATTCAGTGAGCATTCGCAAAGGCTCGAGCGGGTGCCTTGTGTTCAAGCATGGCAGCAGGTTCCTGAGGTCGATCTCCGCCTATACAACACAGCAGAGCGTGCCAGAGACGCGTGGCGCAGTCCTCTGCTGCAATCTCTGCAGGCATGAAAACCTTGCAGCAACTCAATCGTCGCTTCAGCCGCCTCCGAGCACTGCAGCGGCGACTTGTGTCACCACCAATTACACACTTTACGGCATCTGGAATCAGGTTTAACCTGCCCCTTCGAACGACCCCTCCTGCTTGCCAGCAGCTCCCGCATCATACCCTGGAGTACTTGGCCGGTTTCTTTGACGGGGACGGCTGCGTATCTGCCTATGTGGGGCACGCTACACCAGTGCTACTTGTTCAGCAGTGTTCTTCCGGCAGTCCAGTACTTCTCTTGTTCAGGTCTGCGTTTGGTGGAGGTATTTACGCTGCAGGTGTCAGAGCGGGCTTGCGGCGACCCGTCTTGACATGGCGCGTGTGCGGCAAGCCGGCCAGGCATGCTGCTTCGATGCTTGCGTCCGTCGCACCATGCAAGCGGTCGCAGCTGATAATTGCAGCAGACTGGCCTCAGACCTTCGCATCAAGGGCGCATGCAGTCGCCGAGTTAAAGAGACACAAAAATGTTCCACCATCATCGGTCTCGTGTCCGTCTTGGGCCTACGCTGCAGGCTTCTTTGATGCCGAGGGCTGTATATCCATGAGGCAAGCTCAGGTCGTTCTTATCATCGGCCAGAAATTTCCGGGCATCTTGCAAGCACTGCGTGAATTCCTGGCAGTTGAAGGGATAGACTGCCAGTTACGTACCACAGAGTCACTGGCACGACTCACTATCTCTGCGACAAAGCTGTCAAAGCATGCCCTTTTGAAGTTGTTGCACGCCGGCCTCCGAGTAAAACGACAAGCAGCAAGAACTGTTCTAGGAATGAGCCCTGGAGATTTCTTGTCAGCCCGAGAGGATCTTGCCAGAAGTGTCGGACATCAGAACCGATACAAGCGATTGAGTGCTGAAGGCCTAGAGCGATCTATAGGCATCCGGAGATTGAGTCAAAAGCTGACGGTGGCCCCTGATGCCTTGCGTCCTTCGCTGCAAGAGGAGCTGCGACAACTGAAAGCGGACCATGCCTGGAATTGTGCCCTTGAACGCTGCGCTGTGGTACGGTCAGATGTACGATACATACTGGCACAATGGAACAACTATAAGCGTTGAAACAGAGATTGCCATGCGTTGCAGGGGTGCGACAAAGCGTTCGTGTTGGATTCCTGGCAGGCTTCAGAACGGTGCGAAGCTGTTGGTTGGGCCAACGGTTGCTATGCTTGCGAGTTTCGTGGATTTGGATCTTGACCTTGCCCAATACTAGATATTAGATATCGAATTGGCATAATTTTGAACTTCCCAGCCTAAATTAAACTATACATAATTGTGGGGACCGTTGAAATCGGCACCTGGCATACGTCGACTCGCTCAGTCCTCAACTGCGCCTACCCCTCAGATCGTTTGTCCGAGGCCTCGAGCCTGAAGTCCCATTCGAACCTCAAGCCGCGCCCCATAGGCACTCCGAAACCCTCAGCCCAGGCACCGGGCCCAAAGCCCAGGCCAGAAGCCTCAGAGTATAATGTGATAAACTATTACATCAAGCAGCATGTTATAATAGAATGTGACTATAACAGGAAAAAGCTCTTCACTTGACCAGGAGCATTGGCTTCGCTTCGAAGCGGCCCAGGAGGCCATGGCCTGCGGCTACCGAGAAGGCGGGACGAAGCTTTTCCGGCCATTGGGGTAGACGGTCGGGTCAGCAGAGTATTAGGGTTGGGAGATCTGAAGGATTCCAGTTTTGGGGTTCTGTGGTTGGCGATGTCGTGCTTCGTGACCGCGGTTTGTATGTTGTACATAGGTTTGGGGCTGAAGGCTTGGGTTTGGTCTTCAGGCTTGGGGCAACGGGCTGTTGGCAGGCTTTGTGTGGGGATTGTCCTCCGGTCGGCACTGAAGGCTAGACCTGCAAAATACCCCAAACCGCGGGCCGGCCCCCAAATCCGGAAGTTGCGTGGAAGCTCAACCTGAACCCACGGAGGAGACCGAAAGCTCGGTGCCGAGCTGGTGGTGAAGATGTCGGACCCTCCTGGGCAGGTTTTTCGTAGTGTTTCGGGCCTGAGGTTTAGGCTACATACGAGCTTGAAAAGTTCGCGTGGAGGTTGCCGCAGATGCCTCCCGGACTCAAGAACGCAAGTAGTGCTTGACATTCGTTGCGACCAGACATGGCAACGTCCAAAGGCCCAACACTGTACTTGCAAGCTCACGTCGCATCGCCCCCCAAACCCTGCAGGGCCCGAATCTCGTTGAAACCAGAGGGGCCCTGCGACCCGGGGTACATGGTAAGACCATGACGAATGTAGAGGTGCAGTCTGTGCAGAAGAGCAGCCGCAAGAGCCCCTTCGTTGCAATATCTTGAGCCCGCCGTCCAGGAGCTCAATGCCAAGTTGGGTGAAAACATGGCAGCCCTCGAAGCGGAGGTGCCTTCCACCTCTGCCTGCAACCCGACCCTAAGCTCTGAGATGCAGACCCAGGACGCAACGACATGGGAGGATGTTCTGAACTAGGGTATTGCAATGGTATGCAGTACTGTACGGATCCTTCAGTCCTACGTGCTTGGGCATGGCGATTTTGTTTTACCGTGCAAGCGTGAACCTCAATCCTGAAGTCCTCTGTCTTGCCTGTCCCCATGTGCAGGTTACTCGAAACGTGCAGCTGCAGATGTCCTCCTTGCGCGAGGACGCCTTGGCCCAGCTCCGAACAACCTCAAATTCTCCTGAACCCTCGATTTCGCTCTTTCCTAAGGCATCGAATTTGATGACTGTGAACAACTCTTACTTTTCATGCCGGGCAACTTAGTTAATCAAGCATGTTTTGCATAGCGTCGTCTTCAAGTTCGAAGCGCCTGCTTTTTCTAGCCGATGCCTGCACACCAGCGCTTCTTTACCACATCATAGTTGCCAAGTCCAGACACCATCCAAGTAAACTGTCTTGATGTATGCGCTTCAGCGCAGCACATAAGCAGCTTCACCTCAGGCAAACGCAGAAGGGAGCAAAGTTCGATACGTAGATGAACTTGGTTGACGTAGGCCTACTGGATCCAGTCCCATGGCCCAGGACCCTGGCATTTGTGACACCTGTGGGTTAGCATTGTTTCCACCGGCCGTGCTGCAAAGGTCAGTGAGCAAAAAGCTGCACCGACCAACAGAAAGCCAACCCACTTATTCTAGTTACGATATCCAACAGACTTGGCTGACACCCTGTCCCCGGAACGGGGGTTGTTTAAGGGTTGCTCTCATTTCTGTTTGGACTCCTTTTTTGTTGGATCTTTCCACTTCTTCCGTTCGCTGTCGACTAATTAAACTTGTTCTACAGCTTGTTCCACCGGTCAGCGAACGGCAAAGTTGCAAGCCCCCCTGCACCCTCTGCCCTGAAGCCGAAGCGATTTCTCAAACGATGTGGTTCCCCTCCTGCAGGAGTTGGAGCGAAGATCGCGCCCCGGTCTCGCCGAGGCCCACGGACGTTTAGGGTTCAGTGTGCTGGGTTTTGTTTATCCTCTGAGATGCAGCTGCATGTTCTCCTTCATGGAGTCATGGCAACAACCACCATTATGATGTTGTTGGTGATGGTGGTAACATGATGATGAGGATGATGATGATGAGGAGGATGATGTTGACGATGATGATGCTGATCTGATCTTCGTCATCGTAGTGGTGCATCTCCGTGACATTTTGCTATTATAATGCATTTTTACCCATTGTGACCTACGGCCTGCAAGAAGGCGCCTCTTGCCTGAAAGTGTCCAGGTGGGAATTTTGCTTCAGTGTTGGTTTGACTGTAGCATGCGCCCAATGTTCCTGCTTGTCTTGCAGACTTGCTTCGGGAATGCTTTCCCTCTGAGCTCTGCCAGGCTTTCCTTACAACTTGCTTTTGCAGGAGAGCCATAAAAGCCCTAAGCCGTAAACCCTAAACCCCAAGATCCTAAACCCTGGACTATGTGTCCTTAACCCCAAAAGCGGCCAAACGTAACGAAGCTGTTGGCAGGAGCTGGAGACAAAGTGCTCTAGCCTTTTGAAGCAGGCACGGCAGGGATGGGACTCCTGCTGGCTCATTTTGGGGCTGTTTAGGGCACTGCGGAATTTTTTGTAAAGGCCATCCCAGAAGCTCTTGAACAGAGGTCCTTGGAGTCTGTCTAAGTGTCTATGCTGACAGATGTGCACTGGGTACCGGGAGCAATTCCGCACTGAATACACTTGCAGAGCCCGGCTCTGCGGCTCGTGACAGTGCCCTTTGAGAGTTTTGATGTAGTTTCGGGTTTCAGGGTGTAGTGTTTACGTGTAGGGCAGAGTAAGGGGTTAGTCCTGAACCCTACGCCCTATCAGCGGTACTGGGCCATTTCAACATCTTTAAAACGTTATGCTTCCAGTCCGAAGCACTAAGACCTCGCAAGGACAAGTTACAAACCGCGTCCGATCGTTCCGAACTGAAACCCTACTCTAAACCCAAAGCCCTTGACCTTAAGCCCTAAGCGCTAATCCCTAAACCCAATCCTAACACCCAAACCTTTGAATCCTAGTGCCCGGAACCCCTGAAGCCTCAAACCCGAAACCCTGCATTCCTAAAGCGGCTGGTGAGGCCGAGGCATCTTTGGGCGCGACCTTGGCGGAGGCAACCGAAGTCTCCCGAAAGTCGTTCAGGACTGGGTGGGGTGTTCTAAATTAGATCCCTGAGTGTTTTTGGTTTTAGGATATCCCCTACAATAGGATGTTGCTGACATCACATTTCTGAATGCCCAGGGGGTGCCTGCCGGTTCCCATGTGTAAGCTGCACTCGATGCAGATGAGATCCCCTCTTGTATTCCGCATCGAAAGCTCGCCGCTGCGGAGGACAGCGCGGAAAGAGCACGAGGCGTTCGTGCAAAAGCGGCAGAAGCAGTTCCACGGATGGGTGCAGGAGTGCCAGGACCAGCCGCAAAGGGTTCCTTGGGCTTAAGGTTTTAGGTTTAGGCTGTAGGGCGTAGAAGTAAACGTAAATGAAGGCTCTTCAAAGTCGTAGGTTCGGGTGCCACCTTCATCGTCCGTGTCCGCTACAGGACAGGATCCCTGCTAGCTGCCCCATAGCCACATGTTTCGTCGGGGGGGGGAGTGGTTTAGTAGCAGAGTCATGGAAAGCGATGACGCTCGAAGTTCAGTCCCCAGAAAATCCCTGTGCGCTTATGCCGAGCCATTCTGAGCTTTTCGGTCTAGGCATGTGCATCGTTTAGGTTCAGGCTTTGGGCATTTTGTGTTGAGGATTTCGGCCTCTCTTCCTGCCAGGAGCAGCTGCGTGAGACGCGGGCGCACTGCGACGGCTTGACTGCTTCGGCTCTGTCGAAGGCTTGCAATCGGATGTCAAGGTTGATTTGCACAGAGCCCGATACTATAGGGCCTCAATAATTACCTATACTATTTTGGGGGTTCCTCATTATTATTACTAGTATCAAAGTATAATGGGCCCCTAAACCCCATTTTAATCATTAAGGCCCCTATACACCTTCGGTAGGGCCCCGGTAAAAAATTCGAATCTCGTTTGTGCTCTTCAGGCCTCGAGGCCTCCAAACTCTGAGACTTCGGCCTGCAAAACTCAAAGCTTCCAGAGCGAAACCAGTGCCAGAACCGGAAGTCCTGCGAATAACTTTAGGCCTACCGAAGTGACATCGGATATCTCGCACCTGATGCCAGGTGGAGGCGTTGCAGGAGCAGGACGCCATGCTCCGGTTTTCCTTCAGTACGGAAGCACTTTTTCAGCGGGTCTGCGAAACTGAGCTCCTTGAACCACATCTTCCTTTCCGAACTCCGGTCCTGTCGTTCGATCAGGTTTCCGGCTTGACCGAGCTTGCTTTTTCGAAAGTTCACCGTCGTAGGCTACGCGTAGACTTGCTGGTAGTTTGCATCGAGCCCCGGATGGCTCCAAGATTATCGTATTGTAGGGCTCCTCTGCCAGGAGCAGCGGCGCTGGAGCGGCGAGCTTGACTGCCGACTCGGGCGCTGCGAAGGCGAGTGCCAGGCCGAACGTGGTCAGGTGTTCAGGGGATGAGAACCGTAAGCCGAGCCTGAAGCAAATCTCAAAACATTAAGCTTTGCACCCAAAAATGTACCCCGAATGCCAGTCGGCTGCGATTAAGGCGCCAACGGACCGCATAAGCACAAGGATGTTATCTTTTGAGGCTTATGGGATCCTTGTAAGTGGGAGTCCTTCTGCAGAAAGCAACCCGAGACAACCCAAAAGAAGATGCCCGCACAGAATCCTGATACCGCTCACGATCCTGTACTTGGAGGATCATGGGACTCAGTAAGTAGGGTTATAAGTACCCTAATTGGGGTTATGAGTAATCATAAGTATAGTCACCTTACCTATCACCCTAGTTACTAAGTCCCATGACCCTTTAAGTAAGATCCTGTAAGTGCCGTATCAGTACGTTTTGGGTGCTTTCTTGCGACCGCATTCCTCGCTCTGAAGTCGAGGCACTGCTCAGCGATGCGCGGCAGCACCTGCAGGCTTCGGAAGAGCGCCCTGCCTTTCTATTCGGATCTAGTACCACAGTGTTACGATTTGGGGGTAATCCCCAACACTAAACCCTTATACCTAAACCCCTAAGCCCTGCCTCGAAATTGACTGACCATTGATATTGGAGGAGCTAAGGAGCCAGGGGTGATGATAATCCCCACCAAATATGGAGCTTAAGAGCCAAGGGAACCCCCAAACCATTGCTTAGTTGAGATCTAGAACCTCTGGGCTTTTGGGATTGTTTGTAGCTTCAGGGGTTCTTGGGGCACAGGTACAGCTTTGTTTAGGAATTTTGGCACGTAGGCTTTGGGCATAGTGATGTGTATGCTTTTTGGTTTGTAGGGAGGTTGAAGGGATGTGAGCAAGCAGCGACGGAGAATGTTGGACTTGCCAGCGCAGCACGCCGGTGAACGCTTATGCAAAAGTCCTGCGAACGCGAGCAGATGTCGCTTAAATTAACAAGACCGAAACACTTGGGGTTAAGACAGGGTTACGATTTCTTGATATTCCCCAACACCAAACCCTTGTACCTAAACCCCTAAGCCCTAATCTTCAACGCGAAGCCCTAACACCAGAGCCCCAGCCAATGCCTTAAGGTATGTCGCACCTTATGCATCCTGGCCACAAGGCCCTGAACCCTAAGCTCCCTCCGAGGACTCTCAAAGAGTGGCGCAGCCGGGGCGAAGCGCTTGAGACGCTCGGCTTCGGATTTGAGGGGTACATCGACTTCTCTGTGAGTTGTTTAAGGTAATTACGATTTGTTTTCTTGAGGGCTTGCGGTTTAGAGTTAAAGGTGCATTGGGACTGATTTACCAAACTATGGCCTCAAAGTTTTTGGACCCGACACATTGAAACCCCAAGCAGCCAGATGATCGCTCACGGAAGGCTGGCGCATGACGTAACTGTAGGTGGCAGAAGCCCGATCCTGGGCACCGAAGAGATTTCATTCATCCAGACGTTTTAAAGCGTGCTCTGTGCATTACACCGGAGATCACAACACCAAGCCCTGACACCTCAACCTTCAACCGAGGGCCACGCGAATAGTCCCTTGCAGCCCTGCAGCGGAGGCACGACCAGCGTGCCGGCATCGCAGAGCTGCGAGAACGTCTGGAGAAGGCGTGGGCTTTGTTGGCATTTGACATTCAGTTTGCTTCTCTGGCTTAGGGGTGCTCAACATTTCCAGTAGATTTGTAGTTTTCGGGTTTGGGAGCTCAGAGGTCTAAATGATTCTAAAGGGTTTTAAGCTCTTAGAGTTCAGGGATTAGGGTGGTCTAGAGAGTTTAAGATTTTGGGTTAAGGGATTTTGGTTAGGGTTTTGGGTTTAAGGTTTCCCAGACCCAGCACTGTTCATGTGGCGGCTACTCTTGCTCAATTGGCCCTGTCAGCGGATGCATAAAAGAGGGAGTTTTTCAATCGAAACCTTTGACCAACAGCCCTGCAAGCCTCAAAGCGTAGATTTCTTTCGGGAAGGTGGACGAGACGGTCACTGCCAACGAGAAGGGGCTGCAGTCCCAAAGGCCAGCGGACTACTCGTACTAGTACTAGTACTAGTACTAGTACTACTACTACTACTACTTCTACTTCTACTTCTACTTCTACTTCTACTTCTACTTCTACTTCTACTTCTACTTCTACTTCTACTACTACTACTACGACTGCTACTGCTACTGCTACTGCTACTGCTACTGCTACTGCTACTGCTACTGCTACTGCTATACTACTACTAGTACTACTGCTACTGCTACTACTACTACTACTACTACTACTACTACTACTACTACTACTACTACTACTACTACTACTACTACTACTACTACTACGATTACTACTACTACGACTACTACGACTACTACGACTACTACGACTACTACTACTACTACTACTACTACTGCTACTGCTACTGCTACTGCTACTACTACTACTACTACTACTACTACTACTACTACTACTACTACTACTACTACTACTACTACTACTACTACTACTACTACTACTACTACTACTACTACTACTACTACTACTACCACGCAGTGCATCATAAATATGACTGCCCTTAGAACCTCTAAGCTGAATTTTGCCAGGGTGCTCATCGAGCAGCTGACAGCGGACTTTCAGACGCTTCAAGATCGCCTGGCCCTGACCCTCAGGGTGTGTGGAGTTTTGGAGTTTCGAACTCAGGTTTTGGATTTTAGAGTTTAGGGTGTGAGGTTTAGGATTGTTGCTGTGGGGTTTCTTGGCTAAGAACTTCTATCTCAGAGAAAATCCGATCCCAGAATCACAGCACAGTTCCTGTGTAAAGGATCTTCCCACCATTTCCCATCGTACGTGGGGTTTCCAAAAGTTGATTAAGGAGTTGTCTTTTTTTGCGGTCCACCGGACAGCGCTTTCACCCCTCAGCCATTCGAATTCGATTTACCAGGTCCATTTGTAGAAGAAGGGCACCGGAGCTGGAAAAGCGACACTGTTTCCTGAGCTATGTTTGGGCTACATGATGCCCTCAAGTTCTCATTTCGCCCCAAGGTCGTTGTTGAGGGAGCTGTTTCCAAGCAGTCGACCACTGTGCAGAGCCTGCGGCACAAGCTGCACTCAGTGAAGGACCCCGATGAAACTTGTGATGTTCTTATGGCTTGTAGTCTTAGGCTGAAGTGGGACCCCACTTGCACTCTTGCTGCTTGCGATCAAAGCCGTAGTATCATCTTTTTGAGTATTGGCACGTACTGGTGGTCGCATTGGCCGCTGAAATTAGAGCAGCTTTCGTTTGAGCCATGACGTGCAATCGGTCGTGCCATGCCAGGGGTTTTGACATCTGAGAATCCACCTAGAGGCCCTTCCGTCATACTTGGACCATCGTCCGAAAAAGCCGATAAAGGTTGAAACCGTGTTGTTTACACCCAGGCCGTCTTGGGGCCCTGATCTTAGGCACGTTGTTGTGACATCGGCCATCGCATGCAAACCAAAAGCCCCCAAAACCCTGTAGACCCTGAACCTGGCAGTTGAAGATCTGTCCTTGCAGGGCATTCTTTTGGCATGAAAGAATTCGCCGTTCCTTTGATGTGATATACGAGCCTGAATACTTGATGATTGCCACTGCTCTTCATTTACGTCCCCCGATTTTGTAAAACTGCAATGTACGCCAAAACCGTGCTGAAAGTATGAAGAGGCCTACAGTAGGCCACAGACTTCTGCCAAAGGAAGGCAGCTGCACGCAGCTGAAGGCCTGGGACGAGCAGATTTGCTTGGGGTGGTAGCAGCTCACGATGCAGGGTCTTAAGTTTTCTTGCGAGGCCCTAAACCCTAAACCCCTAACCCTAAACCCTAAATTTTAAACCCTAAACTCGGGTTTGGGGTTTTGGGTTTGGGGTTTAAGTGGTCTCAGGTTTTGAGGACGGCGGGCTTATGGTTTTGGCCGAAGGCCCCAGTCCTGATCGCCATGGCACGAATTGTCAGAGGAAACTTTGGGTCACGAAGGGCTCAGGAGTTGCCTCAACGGAGATGGTTAGGACTTAAGGCTTTCGGTTGCAGGTTTGGGGGCGTTTCCGGGTACGATTCAGGCTTGGGGGTACTTTGTGTTTGCAGGTCTTTGTGTATTTGTGCCTGTACGTGCCTGAGCAGTGACACAGTGCAACAGCTGTCTCCTGTCTTGTCACTGTGCTTCTGTTGACGCAGCCTTTCCAGGCACCTTACCCGTCCAAGCACTCCTTCATTGTGTGCAGTTAGTACAAGTATTGTTAGGCCTCAATGCCCGGTAAGACCAATGCATCCCAATTAGCCAACTCATGGCAAGCGCGCCTGGGTTGAAAAGGCGTGGGGTTTCCGCCATCATCTTGCTGACGTGCTGTGTTGTGGCGATCAACTTCTGGGATGATCCAGGTTTCGCGGGTCAATGTGCACCTCTGGTCTTGGGAGCCAGTTGCGGGCTCTTCCTCGGGGTGATTCATTTTCCTGGAAGCCGAGTCAGCAGAGGCTCCCCTTGGGCATGTAAAGTAGCAGGCTGCGCTCTGATTCTCGCAGCCACAGTTTTTGCGATATTTTGTGCATGGCGATGGTCAGGGGGAAGGCAACTTTGGCAACGGCGTTGGTGGATGCTAGCTTCAGTCGCCATCCCGGCGCTGATTTGCGTGGCCTGCATCCTCAAGCAACACCCACCCTCCACTTACGCGCACGATGCGAAGTGGTGTACCTTCAGTCTATGGCTCTGCATGATGGTGTACCCAGCATATTATGTTTGTTATTATGGGCACGGCTTCAGAAAATTGGGCCACTGCTTGATGGCATTGACGCTCAGCATGGAGAGTGTGGTTCTTGGCTGGATTGTTTGCATGTTCCAAGCTCGAATGGTGGAGATGAGATCTAGACACACCTCAGGGAAAATCGACTCTCAGATATGGATCTTCGTGATGTGCGCTGCCTTCTTCTGTCTTTCCCTGTCCATTGAAGTGCACGGTGCAGTGGGGGCACACTCAGAAGAGGGTCTCATCATGACCATCTGTGTCCAGTGTGTGTTCCTCAGCCTCTGGGCGTGGTATACTTTCGACGCTTGCAGGACCTTATGGCGTGGTCTGCGTCTGCTGAAGATAGAGACTGGCCGCGTGAGAGGGCTTCCTGCACGGCAAGCCAGATGGGCATCAAAAATAGTCCGCATTGAATTGTTTCTATGCTTGCTCCTGGGCACGTCTACGTTTGCCGCCTGGCTTTGCCTGACCATCCTGAAGTACGTGCGGCTAATGGACCTTGAAGCTTACAAGGCTTTTACAGCAGGTCCATGGGCACACACCCCAAGTATAATGCGGCGACTTGACATTAGCATCAACTCGCTGTCGCTGGCCCTGCTCTCTGGCATCCTGTGGCAGGATGAGCCTCCCGATGCAGCGACACGGAGAGAACCCCGCTCGAAACCCATGTCAGCAAATCTGGCAGTGTCAGAGGATGATAAGGAGGCTTACATGGCTACCGTACGGCAGCTGGCACGACGTGGGTTCCGCTTGAGCTCCTTGCTAGACTTCTGGGAACGGCTCCTTTCAGGTGACGACTACATGCCACACTTCGATCCCCGATGTTCCTTGACGAATGATGTAGTGCGCCAAGCCATCATCCCCAGATCAAGAATTGGAGACGACGGCTTCTCACTGGCCTCTCTATGGTCTGAGGCTGAGGGGCAAGGGATGCTTCCACGGACCATGGTGACGCACAATTGGGCTAACACCTTCGCCAACTTGGTGGCGGGCATCCTAGCAGATGCCATCGGCTGCAGCACGTATGACGAAATTGTGGCTCAGATTGTTACAAAGCCTGGCTTCGCGCGGATAAAGAAGGATCTCGTGGAGAAGCTGGACCTCACCTACTGGGTGTGTGCCTTCTCTGTGAATCAGCATGCCAGCATTTGTGGAGGCTTCGGAAGAGAGCCTCTGCCAAACACTCATGAGTGGAAAGCGTGGCATGCGAAGACCTGTGATTCCGTCACTGGGGAGCCGTTCACACCTTGCACGTGCAAGATGGAGAAGATCTTCTGCTACGAGGGCAACGAAGATCCAAGGTGTGAGCTCAACAAGTTTGATGTCATGATGCGTCATATCTACGTGGAGGAACAGGTCGCAGGCTTCGGGCAGCTGATCGTCGTAGACAACCACTTTGAGGTGCTGTACAGGGCATGGTGTGTGGCGGAGATTGTGGAAGCCAACGCGCTGCAGATTCCCTCACGAATAGAGGTCCCCTCGCAAGAAGCAGTTGATTGCAATTACGACAGACTTGCTCTATTGGATGTTCGTGATTGTTCTGCTTCATCCCTGCCTGACAAACACATGATTTTGTCCAAGATCCCCGACATTGATGCGTTCAATGAATCATTGCAGGACCTCGTTTTCAGCAGTGAGACAGGAATGTTTTCAAAGTGGGTTGATGGTCAAGAACGTTCACGACACATCGGGAGGATTCTGAGGCGATGTGCACTCGGGCTGCATGGCGAAGTTCATCCGCCTTTCCGTTCTTATGGCTGCTGTCCGGTCGGTCCCGTGGTGGTGGGTGCTCCGAGACGTCATCATGATTCCGATTCTGACGACTCGACCTCCGAGGAAGAGTCGGTGACCGGTACATTTTCAGTTTAGTGGGACAGCATTTCATCGAGTTCTGAATGCCATTGAACAACTTCATCAGCTTCGGATTCCAGTACCAAGTCCGACTGTAGAATAGGGGATTGACTTGTTGCGAATCAGCAGACGACTGACTGAAACAGTGTCACATCCAAGACAGCCTGCAAACTGCGAGCGCACATAAAGGTGGCGTGACTTTGTAAGGTAGCGTCCCCGCGATAGACATAGACGAATCCGATCAAGCTGGCACAAAGATCCCAAGCGTCAAGGAAGTTTAGAGTTTAGTTTAGGGTTTACGGCTTGGGATTTGGGGTTTGGGGTCTGGGGCCCAAGCTTGAAACGAAAGGAGCTTCAGCAGCAGATCACTGCCGAGGCACGGATTCCTTCAAGTGCGGGTTTGGGAGGAAGTTTGCTTCCCGCTTCAGATAGGGTACAGGGCTTAGGGTGCAAAGGGCTGTGGCCATGGGGTTCATACAGCTTTTGGGGATTCAGGATGAGGGCTAGTTTAACTAACTAGGGATTGAGCTCGAACAATCCTTAAGCCCTGACGAGGGCTTCGGTGGTTTCGATCTCTTGGGGTGAATGTTTGGGCTTGAACTCAAAGCGGAGCTTGTGGCAGAGCCTTCGGGCCCCTAAGCCTAAACCCTACACCAACCCCTCTGTTCAGGTGTCGGAGGCGCGACGGATGCAGGCCACTTGTCGCTTCTTGCAACACCCGACACCCTTCAGATGCGCAGCGGAGAGAATTTTAGGGCAACCTCCTGTTGCCTCAACCTAGCTGACAGAACTCAGGACTTCGGGTTTTTGGCTTGTTCAGGATTTTGGGTTCCGGGTGGAAGGTTCGGGATGTAGCTTTCGGAAAGCGTAGTATCGGTGGAGCAGCAAGCTCGCTAGCAATTACATGTCGGCTTTCTTGAAAGATCAGCCGTACTAGTGGCGCCTTTCAATCGCTGACCCTGAAGTTATGGTTTGGGCTTGGGCTTTCCGGGTTTCTGTTGCTTTGGAGCTCTTGGACTTAGGTTCTCAGATCTTCTATTCATGTTCGGTTTACGGTCTAGCTGCTGGCATCCGATTCGTCCGGCTCCAGGCAGAGGGGGAAGCCACGCAAGCGGCGGCCATGGAAGAGAAGCAGCAGGCACTCCCCGGACAGAAAGAGTCCAGGGGTCGGCTTGCTTTGGAGTACTTCTCAGAGGGCCTGGGGCTGAGGGCTTGGGTGGAGGGTTTTCTGCTGTATCATTCCGGCTTGCTAGTTCATAGTTTCGAACTACTTACAACGCGGTTTCTCATTGCCACGATAAGGAGGAAGTCTTCAGATAAGGATTAGAAGACTAAATTGATGGACATTGAAGCTTCAGGGCTTGGGATTTGCGCAACATGCGCCCAAAACCCATAGTAGACTCCCAGACCCTAAACCCCAAACCCTAACCCTGCAACCCGCAAAACCCGAAACCTTCAATCTTCATCTATAAACTGAGCCCAAAGCATTGGACCCAAAAAGCCTAGACCCGAAGACCCGAAAGCAGCACACACACAAACAAGCAGGCGCTTCGCCGGCACTGCCGAGCTTGGAGTTCAGAAGCGGCACAGGGCGCCCAGGCGCGGATTTTGAGGGTTTAGGGTTTATAGAGGGTTTGAGGTTTGGGGATGTAGGCTTGCCATTCTGTCTTTTTTCGGTGGGGAGGGCTTTTGGTGGGACAGGGCTTGGTGGGGTTTGAAAGTTTTGAGCTTCGTGGGGTCTAGGGTGTCGTTATGGGTTCAGGGATTAAGGCTTTAAAGCTTTGGTGTCCGCGGTTAAGGAGTTTTGGTGTTCTGTGATAGACTTTATCAGTGTCTGGCTCTCCTGGCCAGTGCCAGTTCGTAATGCACTGATTGCAATAGTAGGGTTTAGGTCTTGCAGTCTAGGGTGTACGTCATGAGTGATGACGGGATAAGAGCCCTAATATCCGAGTCCTTGTAGAATGATACTCTAGCAGACCAAGGTCCTATTCCAGTCCTTAAGGCCCAAATATTGAGTCCTATGGGTTTAGGGTTTAGGGTGACCTACGGGTCTTCGAGTTTCAAGTCTTTCGCAGCTCGGCTCGAGCTTCGTTCCTTCGTCGACGTTCCCTCACAAGGAGGGGCAACGAAAAGATGCCGGGGAGGTTAAACCCTGGGCTCCTCCATGGGGAGCATGGGCCAGGCAAGGGCACTTTGCTAGGAGATGGGGAGGTGAGCCATTATGGCTCCACTCCTCTGCCGCAGAAGGGGAGGTCGCTGGGGACCGGGACGATCTTTGCATGCTTCTTGGGCGTAGCCTCGTGCTTGGGGGAGGCAGAAGCTAGCTCACAGGAAGCTTGCCAAAAAGGTCTCGGAACACTCTCATTAGCATGGCTGGCCATGATGGAGCTGGCTTTGGACCTTCACCTGTGGTTGAATAGTATTGTCACAGGTACCACGAGCCTCTTGGCAGACGGAATTTCAGCGTTTCAGGCTTCTGAGTCCTGTCCGTTATCGAAGCGCTTCGAGGGCAAGACCCTGCACGATGCGGTCCCAATGGTAACGGTGTTGATGATGATGGGCATCCTCTACTTTGTCTTCTTCTTGTGCTGCCTTCGTAGCGATCCTGCTTGCAATCTTAGCACGCAGATGTGCTACCTCTTCCATGCTTCCTTCCTGATGGCCCTAGTGTCTTACCATCAAGCAGTCGTTACAGATCCGGGTAGAGTTCCGGAATCCTGGCGTGAGGGGCCAGGGACCCGAGAACGGGTTGCCTGCATGATCTTGGAGCGGAAGAAATCCACCGGCGAGATGCGCTTTTGCAGCAAGGAGATGAATCTTGGATGTTGTTCAGATTTAGGGGTTTGAGTTTAGGGTTAAGGGTCTAGGACCAGTCTAGGATTTAGTGGCCGGGGTTTCAGATTTCGCAATCGGGTTCGAGACAGCTAGTTGTGGCTCATGTAGAAACAAACGTGTAGAGTTTAGAAGCGCTGGACTCTTGTAGCCTAGAGCCTGGAATGCATGAAGTACCCGGGAACATGCGGCTTATGTTCATCGTGTTTGTGATCGGAGCTCAGGAAGTACAAGCCAGACAGAGCACACTTTTGTTCCAACATGCAGCGGAACGTGCTTCGCATGGATCACTATTGCCCATGGATGGGCAATTGCATTGGGTTTGCGAACTACAAGTACTTCCTGCTGTTCCTGCTGCTAGGCCTTTCTTAAATATGCACTGCAGTTTTTTAATATATGTAATATGTGTATTTGTTGGTGTTTCAGTTTTAAGAACGAACCAAACGATCACATCTTTGAAGGGCCTCCGAGACCAGCCCAGGTTTTACACAGTCATCGCTACCGACGCGGTCTTCGGGTTTGCCGTGGCAGCCATTTGGGCGGGCGCGTTGGTACCTGGGACCGCAGCCTTCGTCTTGGAAGCTTGGTGGCAATTAGGGAAACTTTTTAATCTCCCTTTACTATAGGGGCCTAAATGACTATCACTACTATCTCGGGGTCCTCATTAAACTTATATCAATCTATCTATCTGTATATATATATATATATATATAGTATAGTGGGCTCCCAAACCCTATTCTAATAATTAGGCCCCTATATCATGGTTCCTAGGGAGGTACCTATTCATAGATTTTTCAGAACCCCAAGACTACAACCCAGGAAAGCTTAGCATTGTCTGGCCTGCTCGGGCTTTGCTTGACCCCCTTCCTCGTATTTCATCTGTGGATGCTCTGCAAGAACATGACGACCATTGAGTTCTGCGAGCAGTTGGGGAGGGGGCAATACATCTCCCCCTATGATCTAGGAGCTTTCGCGAATATTCAGAGTGTTCTTGGTCGTAACATGCTCTTCTGGCTTCTTCCGATCTACTCGACGCCCGGGGATGGACTGAAGTGGCAGCGAAATAGCAGAAACTTTGTTGAACCGGCAAAGAAGGCGGCAAGCGTGCTGAGACCGTGATGTCCTGTGTGCCCCTAGCGCAAAGCCTCACCAGCATTGCACTCTAAATGATGCAGACCCTACTTGCCGCCAGACTATAATGACATGCTAGAATTCGGAACGATTGGCAGAGGTGCCCGGATGTATGATACATGCACGATTTGGACAGAGACGGCCCGTGGTCTCAGCTTGGCTGAAATCATGCAAGTGCTGGCCATTACGAGCCTCAGTATCATAAGGGAGGGGGGGGTAGAGGGCCCTTGAGAGTTCTGATGAATGTTGCTTGTTGGGATTTCCGTTGGGCTATGAGCCGAACCCCCAAACCCCGAAACCTGCCGCCCTAGGCCCTAAGCCCGAAACCCTCCAGGTCCGAGGGGTAGAGGATTTGAAACAACGCAGACCCTCGAGTTTGAAGGCATCTCTTCCGACGCGTACCCGGCCGGGAGATTTCCCAGACCCTGAACGCTAAGCCGTCAGACTACCATTCTATGGGGGGGGCCTAAATTATGTCCACCACTATTCCTTGTTTTTGTGTTTATTGTTTAATATACCCCCAAACCTCTCCAATCTTGAAGGCCCTTGTATCGATTAGCCAGGTTTTTCGTTAGTCTACTATAAAAACCAAAAACCCTTGTGAACTTCGGGGTACTTAGAAATATTTTTAAATTTTTGGTTATTATAATCACTAAGAAACAGCTAAGGATAAAATTTTTGCTAGGGTTCTAAGTTCAGTATAGTGAACATTGAGGCCCCATGAGGCACCCACGTTAAATCAGAAGTTCGTGCAGCCCGAAGTTCCCAAGCCTTACTCCAGACTTACCATTGGTTAGTAGGGAATGGAGGAATGGGGTACAATTATAACTACTATTACTACCATTCTTCCATTTCCTACTAACCAAAGGTAAGCAGAGGGGGGTTCTGAGAAGTCAGAGGGTTCAGGGTCAAGGGTTATACAGCAACTTCTGCATGCCTGCTCGCTTTGTGGCAGCTGTTGAGGTTGTAGGGCTTTAATATCGGGGACTGACTGGTTGGCAATGTCCATGTAATCGTAGTACAGAGCCCTGCAAAGCCGTAGTCTGAATCATTCAGGCTTCTATCCTAGGAAATTTGCTCCATTCGCAATGTCTCTCAACGCTTGATTGCAGGAGACGCTCTCAGCGCGACTGCAGGAGGCAGGGTGCGGTAGTTCCAATGGAGACACGCAGTGTTCGTCAGCAGTATCATTGGTGGTGTATCTGCGGTGGAATAGTTTTTGCCCCTTGATGTTGGCTTGCACTGTCTGTGCCATGCCGCTTTCGTTGAACACTAACAGCCTTGTCCTTTTTCATGGTTCCCCCAAAAAGAATAAACAGACCGGCTAGTAGACCTTAAATAATTCCTACTAAGGGATATAGGTATAGGGCTCTGTCTATTGTTTCTAAAAGGACAAGGGTGAACACTAAACTCTCAACCCGACTCCCGAAGCCTTGAGCACTAAACCTGCAGCCCCGCGGCCCTCTGGCGCCCGACAATTTCCCAAAGACTGTAGGAAATTGGGATCAGGGGACCTTAGTATGTAAAGCGGTTCCAAATTTGGGGTGTTAAGTGGGCAGCCTTGATTGGAGTAGTTTCAATCCAAAGATGGCCTCTAATTCTGCAAGAGTCTGACAAATCATGTCTGGGGAACCCGAGAGCGGGTCGTGGTTTTAGTGGTTTAGGGCTCTTGACTGGTTTTGGTGTTTCGGGTTCTAGTGTTTCTACGTTGCAAGCTGTGAGGTGGCTGATACGACCTGAGACTTCGCGGAATTATGGGTTTCCTCAAGCGTATGACTGGGGGGTTCGAGGTATGTTGGGAGGTTCATTCGATTTAGTAAGCACAACTATAGGTACCTCAATGAGGTTATGAGTAATCATTACTAAGTCCCGTGAGCCTTTAAATACTTGTACTTGGTGCTACCCTGCTCGTAATCCGATTTAGGACCGCGAAATCATTTCACTGACTCTTAAGACAAGAAGCCGTACTACATGTATCGCCCTCATTTCGGATTTGACTACTGTCGACTGTGTCATCACGGATTGCCAATATGAGTCCCCCATCTCTCAGTGCATGTCTAAACTTCTAAAGCCTCAAGCCCTAAGCCCGCGACCGCCCCAGTTCTCTGGACCCGGAAATCGGATCTTTGGAACCCTCCGGCTCGAAGCATTGAAAGCGCAGGGCCAGCAATACGGCTCTTGCGGTTGCGTTCCGTCAGTTTCAGACCTCCAGGGCTTAAGGGCTCTAACATAAGGCTCCGAAGAACTCGTCATGTTATTCCATCATCAGAGAACAGGCTTGAACAGCTCACGCTTTGACGAAGACAGCTGTGCCCACCGAATCCTTCAACCCCAAACCCCAAACCGACAAGTTTTTGGTTTTAGGGCTTCAGGAATGGAAAAAGCTTGGGGTTTAGGAACCTAAAAAACCCTAAAGCCTAAACCTTAAGACCTTGTAGTCCCAAGCCCGAAGCTCTCCTTCTCACGCGCGCTGCCGGCTACCCTTGCAGCCATGGAAGCCGGCACCCTGCGCAGTGTCAAGGACTTGGGTTTAGGGTTTGGAGTTTAGGGGTACGTGTAATGGGATCCATAAGGGTTCCTTAAAGGGATTTACAAAGGTTCTCTAACGGGTTGAGGGTTTGGAGTTTAGGCTTGCGGGTTTAGGGGCTTTCAGGCTTTGGGGAGTGGGTCGTGAGGCATTGAGTTCTATGCATTGTAGAGTTTGGTTTGCAGGATTCTGTGCGTTCAGGGATAAGGGTGCGGGTCATAAACAAGCGAGATTTAGCAAGCTGGTCAAACTTGAAGCTTTGAGTTTATGCGTCTAGAGTAAGTAGATTAGATGGAGCTCCCTGCCGGATACTTCTGGCTTCAGGGTTTCCGGATGCTTGGAGGTGAAGTCAGGTGTGGAGGTCTTCTGGCGGGCTAAAGATCTCATTTGCGTTTTGGATCAGATGCATTGGAGCTTATGCAGTAGCCAGATAGGGCTTGGAAAACTGGAGCCGCAATCCATACAACGTCTCTCTAAACCCTAAACCCGAAACCCTAAACCCTAAACCCTAAACCCTAAGCCCTAAACCCTAAACCCTAAACCCTAAACCCTAAACCCTAAACCCTAAACCCTAAACCCTAAACCCCTTTTGCCTTGACCCAGGAGGGGCTTTGTGCTACTTGCTATGCCAAGGCGGGGAGGGGGGGAGGTTGGGGTTCGTCGGGCTTGGCTTGCCTAAACCTCCGGAGTGTGTTGAGCCATTGCGGCTTGAGTCAGATAGGGGTTTAGGGCTTAAGGGTACGGATAAGGGTTTAGGGCTGAAGGTGTAGGGCCAGTGTACCCAGAGACTCCAAAACCCTTTAATTAAGGAATATACCTTAAATCATATAAGGGGTCCTATTATAATTTAAGGTATATTCCTAAATTAAGGGGTTTTGGAGGCTCTGGGTAGGGCCTTCAGTTCTCGCAGACCACCCAGACACCCTGCGCCGACCGGTCGCGCCTCGAGCGAGCGAAACCGAAATCCCCCCAAACCCCAAAACCAAAACGCCACAACTCTCAAGAACGGTTTAGGGTTTAGGGTTTCCAGGGCCTAATGAATCCCTACTTCCAGAAAGCCAGAATCTGGACTTTCAATCGTCACGTCAGAACTTCAATCCGTATTACCCTAGGCCCTAAACCCTAACTCATAGCTGTCGTCCGAACCTCAGAACCTTAAAACTTAAAACCCAAACTCCACTACCCTAAACCCAACACTGCAACGGGGCCCAAAACCCTATTCTGATTATTAAGGCCCCTATAGTAGACCTACCCAACACCCTTGCTGTCCGGGAGGCTCAGGTCTATTGCGCGAACTGCAAGCAGACCCGGCCTAAGGGCTGCCCCGGGTTTCGGAGCGTTTCGGGTTCAGGGTTCGTTGCAGGGTTTCGGAGACTTTGGAGCAAGAGCCTTTCGGGGTTTGAGCAGAGTTTTGGGGACACGTGCAGTTTGTTGTTTCCTGTCATGGGCATAGATTGAGTAGCTGCGTAGCCGAGATGCGGACTTTGATCTGCCATCTTGGTCCTAAAATGGGTCCTAAAGCCGAAGCAGGGCTGCAGCGTCTGGGGTTAAAGGATTGGGGCCAGGATACTGTTGGGTTTTCTACATCTGCTTCAGCACAGGCAAGCAGACGGGTAGGTAGTCCCAGTATGTGCCTCTTCATCCTTCGAGTTCCTGGCATAAGCAACTTTTACACCGGTTTCGGGTGTAGGGTCTTGGGGGTTTAGGCTTAGGGGCTTTGGGTTTAGGGTTTAGGATCTAGCATTTTAGGCATGAAGGCCCCCATGTTCATCGAGCCATTTCCGCCCCAAGGAGATGGTACTGCTCGCGCAATTGCCAGGAGAAGGTGCGGGATGGGATGCCCAGAGTCTCATGTCTGCCTACATTTATAGAGGGGTGGTTGTCAAGATTAGAGTCCCTTTTCGGGTACCCTAAATATAAGGTGCCGTATTATATTAAGGACCCAAAAAGGGACCCTAATTTTGACAACCACCCATATATATATATATATATATATATATATATTTAAAGATATAACAGATATGATCGGTATGAATATATGCATATGTACATGTATACACGCGCATATATCTACACACATCCTCATACATATTCATGTTTAGTTTTCATACACACATACGGTTTAGGGTTCAGGTTTGATGGTCTTAAAGGTATGAGATGTTGGAAGACCGGCCAGCAGCTGTGTGTCGCGGCTTAAGATGCGTCTTCATAGTCTGTGGAAGTTCTGTGTGAAGTATGCGAGTAGGACGCGACATAGGGTAAAGCAGAAGCCCGATAAGTTGGGCGAGTGGCATCCGGTTAGCCGCAAACAGAGTCTGGCAAAACTACGAACTGCTAAGCCTCCAAAGCCGCCGAAGCCGTGAAACTCTAAAGCGTAAATCTCAAAGCCGACACCACACCAAAGCCCTATTCTAGTCAATAAGGTCACCCCTTCCTTCCCAAATAACAAATTGCTGCGTTCCTTGTTGTTGGAGGACTGGAAGCTCGGCCACAAGGGCGACTGTGGCTTAGCAGTCCCTCCGGATGCATCAAGAAGCAACGGCTTGGGAGTTCAGGGTTTAGGACTGTAGAAGTTAAGCTTTTGGGCCAGTTTTAGGGTTGAGGGTTTAGGGCTTCGGCTCTGCATTGTTTCAAGGTTTCACTAAGCAAGATTGCCGGCTTAAGGGTATTAAGGTGGGGGGCGGGTGTGTAAGGCATTGGATCAGAAATCTTTGCTTGTTTTCTGTTCGGTAAGAGGTCTGTGGTTCACCATCATAGTCCGAACTCCGAACAACACACATTTAGTGGACAGAAGGCTTGTCGTACGGGCTTCGTGATATGACTGCGAATAGCCACGGAAATCCTCCACCCTAAACCCTTAGCGCGAACTCGCGCGCAGTTGGAAAAGAGGCGATTCAAAAGCACCCACTGGCCCCGCCTAAACCAGTAGTCTTAGTAACTTAGGGCACCCCCATATGCTTCGCCTTGAATTCCCAGACCCCCTCTGCACCTGCTACTAAACCCTGAGCCCGATTCATGACCCCTTGTAACCCATCATGATGACCTCGCAGCGTCTCTCTGAGGGCCCCCCCTTCGATCTTTGTTCAGGGAGGTAAGCATTAATCAGAGGTCTGAACCTATCTTAGGGGTACTTAGGAAAATTTTTTAAATTTGGTTATTACAATCCCTAAGAAACAGCTAAAATTATGATTTTTGCTAGGGTTCTAAGTTCAGTATAGATTTCAAGAGCCTACAAGTCCTGATCCCCATGGCTCGGCTAGACCCCTGAGCCTTTGACTCAGCTCCCATCTCCGACACTTCCCTAGACCCCAAAGCTCGGGCCCCGAAACCTAAAGCCGAGAATCAGAAACCATCACAATATCCACTGCAGAGCTCGGACGAACAGGCAGCAGTATCCGATGAAAGTCATCGGAGCCATAATATTATTTGCCCCAGAGCCTCTTTTAACCAGCAAGGCACATACTATACCAAACCTGGCAAAGCCCTAGCACACACATGTTTCCCACCAAAAGCCGATTGACTGAAGGTGTGAAGGGCTCTATCGTATAGAATACAGAACCCTCGCAGTACCTTACAGTAACCCTCAAAGGTACCTTATAGTAACCGTTAAAGGTACCGTATGGTAACGTTTAAAGGTACCTTATGGTAACAAGGTAGTAACCTTTAAAGGTACCTGATAGTAACCCTTAAAGGTTCCTTATGGTAACCCTTAAAGGCACCCTTAAAGGTACTTATAGTAGCCCTTAAAGGTACCTTATAGTAACCCTTAAAGGGACCTGATTGTAACCCTTAAAGGGACCCTCGACTTGTGAAGGCCCCAAGAGTAACCCACAACCGGCGGCCCTGAGGATCTTCCGGCGACGGCTGCAGTTCCGTCGCCGCCCTTTCGGCTCTTAGCCGAATCCGTGGAGAGGCGGCTGAGGGTTTCGGGGGTTTCGGGCTTGGGGTGTATGGTTTCAGGGGTGTAGAGTTTTAGGGGTGCAGGGGTTCAGCAGGGTTCAGCGGTTTGGGGGTTTAGGGGTTTGGGGGTGCAGAGGTTCAGGGTTAGGGTTTAGGGGTTTAGGGTTCAGGGTGTAGGGTTTAGGGGCTTTCGGGGGTTAAGGGGTTGGAAGGAGCATACTGGACACATACGGTGTTGTAGGTATTTCTATTGCACGATGTTTCAAGCTTATGTTTACATGGCATGTGGGGGCTTCATAAGATTATCTCGCAACAAAACCTAAACCCTAAACCCTAAACTATTATGAGTTCAGACCCCTGGACCTCCTGAGGCCATATCCGTGGCTGGCACTCACCTATAACCCCTACAATCGTAGACCCCTCAACCTACACCTTTCAACTCACAACCGTTAACTTCAAAACCCGTAGAAACCCTTAACACCAAACCTTAAATCCCACCCGCTTAGCCCCTGTGCGCGGCAAGGCCTGTTCACACAGAGTCGAGTTGGAGAAGGCCAGGCCAACGGATTCGGAGTTGTTCGAAGGACTCGCCAAGGCACTAGAATTTAGGGTTTAGGGTTTTCCAGAACCCCTGCAGGATCTACTGACAATCGAAGATGTCATCTTGCTTGAGATACGCCCGTTCTTTGGGGTTGTATGTTGTGCGTCTCGTTAGGGCTTTGGGTAATCTAGCTCCGTATTTCTGGCGGGTATTTGGGCCGTAGTGGATGGTGGGTGCTTCCGACTACTTGCTTAGAGAGCCTGTAAATGTTCCGTGAGGTTGTCATAGAGTTCTATATAATAAGGGTCCTACGAGACTTTTCGATCATTGCTTGGGGTCTTTGATGAGGTTTGAGGATGGCAGAAGAAGTTGCTTTGACGAAGATGCCGGCCATGATGACATCCGTGATAGCTTTGTAATGCTTTTCGCACAGCGTTGCAGGTACACAGCGGCAGGACTAGTAGTGAACGTAATGGCCTGAACGACGGTGGCAGGTCGTGAAACAATGCAAGCAGTTCAATCACTCTGGTCGTCGCAGTGGTAGCTAAGTTTACTGTATGGCCTCAAGTGACCTTCCGATCCGTCCCGCTGAAGCTGAACGACAGGGCTCAAAACCCGGCATAGATCCTGGTACCAAGAACCCTCAACCCCAAGCACTTCTCCTCAAACCCCACCTAGACCTACACCACTTAAGGAATGTAAAGTTGAGCGCCAAAGGTGTCCGACGGTCAAGGGTAAACATATAAACCTTGCAGATTTTTTAAAGGTTGGAGGTTGGGTCGAGCGGCTGTCTCAACTCTCTGTCGATGCAGATCCTTGCAACTCCTTCCCTCAGGTGGCACGTGGCCAAACCACTTACGCACTAAACCCGCAACTCGAACCCTAAACCCCAAACCCCAAAACCCAACCGATTCTAGGCTCCTCGACAGTACGGACCTCTCCGTGAGTGACATGCCGCCCCGTGGGCTACGAAATGCAGCCCGGCAACTTTCACAGGCTTTGTGCTAAACCCTGAACCCTGAACCAAACAAAAATCGTGAAATAGTTTCAATTGGCGAAGATTTCGATTGCTGGAGTTCCTCACCTTTTTGGTGTTCTTCTTCTACTTGGACGTTGCTACATGTAAGCTAACTATATCTGTGCTTTTAACCTCATGATACATGTAACCTGGATAATTAACTTCGGGGATTTTTGATTGGGTTATGGCTAATGTAGGGGCCAAGATTAATATTTGGAATAGGGTTTTGGCGTTTTACCGTATGAGTATAGTAGAATATACCCCCCAAGCCCTTTTCTAATTATTGAGGCCTCTACATTAGTTGCAGTCACCGTTACGAGTGAGTGAGGCACGTGAGAGTACAGATGCTGTTGGATTCAGAATTATGGTTCGGATACTTTCAGGTTCACGGTAGGTTCGTGACGAATAAACACACCCCCTATGGACGTTATCTTCAAGCGTTTATGCACAGGTGCTTCTTTCGGGAAGTATTCCCGGGTTTCTGATGTGGATTGCGAAGAGATTCTGTGCGGCGCGAGCCCCCTAACACTGAAAGACTAAACCCACTCTCTGACAGCATTCGACCCGAATGCCTGCACTTTGAAAATCTAGCATCCAACTTATGCCTACATCTTTATCCGTGACCACCTAAACAACCAGTCATTCGGATCCCTTACCACAGTTGCTAGTTCTAATGTGCCCACTGCAACTAGATAGTGAGGCCCGATTGTCGTGTTTTTCCTGGCAAATCGGCCATTAAACATCCGAGGTTGCCAACTGCTGCCAGCCTGGCTCGGTTGCAGCTTAGAGCCCTCCAGGGCCTAGTATTCATTAGTATTCAGGGTTTAGGATTTAGGATTTAGAGTTTAGGGTTTAGGGTTATAAGAAGCTTGCGAGGACAGGATGCCAGGACTTTATGTTAAGGTTGGGGGCCTCTTTGTCTTCGTGGAAGTTCAGGGCGAAAGCTGACGGTTTTGGGCGCGTTTTTGGTGTTGGGGCTCGGGTTTAAGTCTGAAGGTGCTCGCGCGGCGGTTCGCATCGAAGCTGCCAGTGGGACTTTGGAAGTTTTTTTCCGAAGCATGCTGACATGTTCTGGAGACTCTAGCTTCAACCTTGGGGATTGGCAGAAAGCTGCTGCCAGAGCGCAGCCAACAAGAACAGTCCGGATAATGGCAAGAATCGGGAACGGGGAGTGGTGCCCAAGCGCAAGAGCGAAGCATTGTTGGCTGGCATGGATCGAGCCACAGCCCAGAACCTGTGCCAGGTTACATGAATTCCGTCCTACAGGGCCTGCATCACGCTGTGCCGCTGTTGCCGGGGGCTCGCTGTGATCTGGGACTTCCAAGGGCTTTGGGCTAGGGTCTAGGGCGCTTAACTTTGAGAGTTTCGGGTTTAGGGTTGGAGGCTTCGGGTTTTTCAGTGCCACTGCCAAGAAGCTGAGGGAATGCAGGGTCCGAGGGTGCAGGATAGCCTTGTTCTGTTCAGGTGGCATTGGGCTGAGAGCTTCAAGATATGTGCGAATCGAATGTTTGGCTTGGGAGAGTGGGTCGGAAGCTTTTAAGGTCAATCTGCCGAGATTTGGAGTTTCGAGGCTCTTCGTCCTTAATTTGAAACGCTGCGCGTCGTCCGCCTCGGCCCGGCTGTACGCGCATGCGGCGAGTGGCTACTATCTGCAGCAAGCTCTTGTAGGAAAAAAGTAACAGTTGGAATCGCACTTATAGTAAAAGTAATGTTCATAGCAACACGTTTGAAACTCCCTTGGTACTGCAGCCTTACAGGCGAGCCCCAATTTTTCAGGCTGGGGTTAGGGTGTAGGGTTAGGAATTCAGGTTTGAAACTCGCTTGGTACTGCAGCCTTAAAGGCGAGCCCCAACACATAAAGATGCTACATTGCAGTCCCGTGTCGTCGAAAACTCCAGAAAGCTCGCACCTGTCAGCGGGCGGAGGAGGGGCGGGAGGGAAGGGGGGAGGGGTGAAACACTGAATGTTACACATCCAGGTGCCTGTCTGTTTCACGTATCACTTGCATGTATCCATGCCTGTTGCTCAATGTTCTAGTGCAGTGGACTACAGCTGTGCGCCTGTAGCAAAAGAGACACCTGAGTGCCTGTGTTCCTGTACGCCTAGCGAGGGGATACACGTCCAGGTTACATCTCAACGTGGTAGCGGAGCTTCCGGGAAACGGGAAGCTTCACACTGGTGGAGGTACCCGTTCGGTACTCTCTACACAGGTGGAGGCAACCGGAATACCCGGTGTGCTTCACTCAGGTGAAGGTGACCGGAGTCTCTCCGGCATACTTCACTCAGGTGAAGATAACCGGAAGAGTTTTCTCCCGGGGCTCGATCCAAGAACAGCGCAATGGCTAGCCACTCTGCGACTATCTTTGAGCATGACGGAGGAGATGAAGATTACCTCCTTCACGGCAATGAATCTTTCGCGACTAATCATCGTCATCTCAATGAACTACACCGTCTTTCAGCTTTCCAGCAGGTGACCACCAAAGTACCTCCATCTTATGATGGTAGAAGTAGTTGGTTTGCCTACGAAGATGCGATCGATGACTGGTGTGACATTATTGAGCTAGACAATGATAAGCGTGGACCAGCTTTGAGGAATCGGCTAGAAGGTGAAGCAGCTATCCACAAGAGGCTTCTCGACAGAGATCGCCTGAAGGACCCGAACAACGGAGTTAAGTACTTCAAGAGTTTTCTGCGGCCGCTTTTCGTGAAGGGAGCAGCGAATGTCTTTCTCTACCGCTTCCAGCAGTTCATAAACATGCACCGCGGGAATGGAGACATGCTTCGTTGGATTACCAGGTTTCAACTCTCTGTTCAGAGGATGCAAGAAGCGTGGAATGATACCTATCTGCCGATCGAGGACCCGAACAATGCAGAGGTCAGAGCTTTCATAGCAGGACTTCCTCCAGAAGAACAAGAAGGAATCACGCCGGCTCAGGCAATGGAGAGAGCCAACGAACGGCTCCGAGATCAGCATGCTCGGACCATTCCGATCACGGCCAACCTCGTCGCTTTGATCTTTGTCTCTCTGTCCGATCTCACGCAGGATCAGCGGCAGGTGTTGACATCGTTGATGGCGCATCGGAACCGAGTCTTAGCTGACTACAACACGACCGAGCTGCGTGAAGTTTACCTTGAGATCTTCTGCACGACCAAGACTACCGTCGACAATCCTCTCCTCGCTCCTTCCGGCCACGGTGGCCGCAAGACGTTCCTCGTTATCGATGAAGGATATTTGGACAATCATGAAGGCTACTGGGTCGAGGACGAGGAGGATGGCACAGAAGGTTTCCTTGAAGCAGATGAGGACGCCTTCTGGGTCTACGACGACGAGAACTACTCATGGTTCCAGCGGCGTTTCCAAGGCCGCAAGATGAGGCGCGGATTCAAGGGCCACCGCAAAGGCAGAGGAAAAGGTGGCAAAGGATCCAAAGGAAGGCGCTTCTTCAAAAGGAAGAAAGGCAGGTCACATCTTGCCGAAGAATCAGAAGCATGGCAAGCAGAAGGACAATGGCAAGATTACCAGTGGAACGATCAGTCCTGGGATGACTGGTCCTGGTACGAGTCTGAGGAATCCTATGCAGCCAAAGGAAAAGGAAAGAAAGGAAAGAAGGGCAAAGGAAAGAGCAAGTTTGGCAAAGATGGAAAGGATGGAAAGTCCGGAAAGGACGGACAGAGCCAGCTTGCTGATGCTGCCCCGAGCGGCACCACAGCCGCCACAACCTTCTTCGTTGAACATCTCAACACTCCGAACCTTTCTTTCATGGCCACCGAAGAGAAGATCAATGAGATCGAAGAAGCCTTCATCTCTCAGCCCTTGAGGCCGACCGCGATGGTGTTGGACTTGGGATGCACGAGAGCAATGGCTTCGAGAGTGGCCGCACAGGACCTCATGGAGTTCTGTGACAAGAACCAGAACTGTGGCATTTGGTACACGATAGCTGAGACCACTTCTCAGTTCACCTTTGCCAATTCCGAGTCGACCAAGTGCAACCAGAAGTTGGTCATTTGCATGTACGACCGGGATTATGCAGTTCAATCCACAGAGTTCGACATTGTGGAACAAGGACATGTTCCCATTCTCATGTCCTTGCCTCAGATGCGCAATCTTCGTTTCCAGTTCGAGCTCCATCCGGGAAAGGCCTTGCTCAGCAGCCCTGTGCTGGGAATCAAGGATGTGAGGCTGAAGGTTGCACCTAGCTCACACCTGGTACTCGACCTTCTTGAACTCAGTCAGTTGATGTGGAATGTGCGTTTCAGCAAGCATAAGAAGTCGAGCTTCCTCACCTACTTCTCCCACTACGAGTACGGCTTCCATCAGAAGACCGAGGGATGCTGTTCTCATGAACAGGTACCCGACAATCTCGTGTTGGCGACAGATGATGAATGGGTGATCAATGAAGCCGACATGGAGATGATTCGCATCCACAAGAAGATGAGAAGAGTCAAGTACGAACCCAAGGCGGGTTTTGTGCCGATTCCGTTGGAGTATCTGGACACCAAGCGCAAGACGATCATGGAGTTCTCCAAGGGAAAGAGCGTTACTCAAGAAGATGACTGGCGTTCTTCTGAGCTTTCTTCAACAAGAACTACTGACTCTTGGAAAGGCAAGACCATTTTCAAGATTCTGCCTGGTGGCATCGAGAGTAGAACCTCGGTGCCAGCTAAGTCCAAGGATCCAACCCGTGGCAAGGTAGGATCTCCAGAGGACATGGTTAGCACAGGTAAACCTGAAGACAGCTCGAAGAACACAGGAGCATCCGGAAGCTTCCCTCAGGGGAAGGTACCGGTATCGAGAAGGATTCGAGCCAAGGGAAGCTTTCCACAGGGAAAGGAACTCAAGGAATCGGCTCCTCCTCCTCTCGCTCCTGAAGATGATCCGGATCTTCAAGAGTACGAACCGTCCGAACCGGGGGATGCAGATTTGCTTCCTCCAAGGGCCCCAGAGCCACAGTCGCTAGAACCTAGGAGGATCGCGCTTCCGTTGCCAGGCCACGAGGTCTCAAGGGCTTCTCCGCAGCATCAGCGCATGTTGGAAAAGCTGAACAATGATGTTGAGCTTTACAAGTTGCATGTGAAGCATTACCACATGAGTCCTGCTCAGTTTCGACGCAGGACCAGCATGCTTGGTCTGCCAGGAGAGATCTATGACAAGTACGACCGCATTGTCAAAGGCTGTCGTGTTTGCAGCACCTCAGTGCCTACGCCTCCGCGAGCCAGAATCGCAGGATTGAGAGCATCATCCTTCGGTGATCTCATTTTTGTTGATCACGAAGAAATCAAATTCGGTACTAAAGCCTACCTGGCTTTGGTCATCATTGATGGTGCGTCAAATCTCCTGTGGGCTACGGCTCTCACAAGCCTGGAAGCGCCAGAGACTCTGGGAGCTTTTCGACAATGGACGGAGGAGAACAACTGCGTTCCTAAGGGAATCGTAGGAGATCAAGGATTTTTCACGCCACAGTTCATGTCCTATTACAAGTTTCATGGCATTACTCCATATCCGTGTGGACCACGGACTCCTTGGCCTAATCGAGCTGAGACCGCTGTGCGGCTTTTCAAGCGCACATGGGCCATTATGGCCAAGGCCTTAGCTGATGAAGGTTATGCAGAGAAGGTTACTGTTCGTCAGGCAGTCAAGAAGGTGGCGTGGGCAAGAAATTGCCAGCTTACTGTCTCAGGCTATTCTCCTCTGGAGATAGCCACAGGAAGACGGCCACCAGACTTGTTTGATGTGGAGAACAGTTCTCCTGAACAACTCTCTGCTGATCCTGCCGAGGAGGATAGAACCACTCTGGAACTCCAGAGGATTGCCATGCGAGCTCACCAGGAGGCCAGACAGTCGCTTGATCTTCGGAAGGACCTTGCGCGCAGAGTGATGCCATCAGATGGTCCGTATTCAAAGGGTGATCGCGTGTTTGTTTGGCATAAGGATGAGTCGAAGAAGAAGT